ATCTCTTTCATATAATGAATCTTTTTCGAAATATTCTCTCTTATCTTATAACCAATGTAACGTGTTCGTTGATTGACTGTTGATGGATGATTCAAAGATTGAATACTCTCATCATTTATGGAATATTTTAAGTTGGAACTTGTAATAGGAATAATATAGAAAGCAATTGTTTAATAGAAATCATCAACGACATTACAATACTTCGTTACTAAAATAGTTTAAGACTACAGAGTATCTTTTTAAAGTCAATATCATGAGAAGTATTCAATGGTATAAATGCAAAAGATTATTGTAAGACCAGTTTTAAACAGAAGAAGATTAGTTGAGAGTCCAATATAGACATTAGAGATAAGAGAAAATAATAAAATGAACAAAACTAATTCTATACTATTACCTACTTGTCATGGATTCAACAATGAATCATTATTTAGAACGCTAAGACTCGATTGAGATTAGACAGTTTAGACATTTAAACGAAAAGAAAAGGAGAGTTAAAAATCGTAACTGAACACTACCATTATCATGTAAGGAATAGAAGTCAAAACAGGCTTACGTTTTGTAGGCTTAATCTGCCAATATATACCTTCAGCTCATCTATATCTATCTATTGTTCCTATTAACCTGCCAGTCATGACTTTTATATTATTTTTCCATAGGTAAAAATTCGAAGTTAAGTTCGTTTTAGAGGGACTATGGTATTCTGCTAAAGAATGCAGTATCTCAGCAGTAATAAGCTATCATTCCGAACTCTTTTCACGATGCTCATAATTCATTAGAACCTACATGATGTAATAGACCCGAGTCAAAAGCAATTTGACATTTAAATACGTTTTCTGGTTAGATATTTTTGTTCTTATTTAATTTGAAAATCTTTGATTTTATTAATTGATTACCCTAGGATCATGTAACTCGTCGAACAGCTATGAATCTTGTTCTTGAAGTCGCTCGTGAGAAAAAGAAACAATATATATTTTTAACACCACAAGATCTAAGGTAAAAATTGAATTTATTTATGTATTTATTAATGAATCATATTTTTTTTATTGCTTTAGTTTTCTTAAAATTACTGATGACATGCGTATTCTACGAATGCCTCAACCAAAACGTACACTAATGCAAACAAATAATGATAATGATTCCGATTAACTATATTTTCGTTTTTTTATACAGTATGTATTTAATTCAAATTCAAGAAGGAAACAGTACTTACACATTAATCTCATCATTTATTATTATTTTTTCTCTTGTATATATTCTGATTAAATGTTATACATATAGTCAGATGTTTTATTCTTCTACTTATATCATATATTAAAAAAAAAATTCAGCAATGTATTTTTTTTTCATTTATTTCTTATTATTTGTTTTCTATTTGTTAAATGATGATGCATTCCTTCTACTTTGTTATTATTATTTTTTCTTATGTATATTTTCAATAATCCTAATGATTGAGCCTTTTCTGTTTCTTTTTTTGTTCAGATATATATATATATGTATGTACAGATCTCTATTTTCTATTCAGCTATTAAAATATATAAACGTAGAATTTGATTGTTATTTTTTGTTTTTGTTTATTTCAAGATTACTCTTATAAAAAGAAATATGTTTCTAATGTATTATCTTAATGATAAAGGTGAACGTGTATATACGTTCAAGGTAAAATATTTGTTTTTTGTTTGAATTTTTTTCTTGTTGGACAATTATGTATTTCTTTTTTTTTTCGTCTGTAGAAAGTCGATCCATGGGGAAATCCTACACAATCGGCTCATCCAGGTATTTACTGTCATTTGTTAATGAATGTCATCTTAAAAAAAATTATTATAATTTTCAGCTAAATTTTCACCAGATGATCAATATTCACGACAACGACTTAAACTCAAGGCACGATATCGATTACTTTTAACGCAAACACCACTTGCTAAATGTTAAATTTTTTTCATGTGAACATCTTGATAACAAGAATGTTAAATTGTTGTTGTTGTTTTCAAATAAATGAAACTATAAAAATCCATCTAACATAGAAGAAATTGTAATTTTATAGTATTCATTTGCATCAACTTTTATATTAGAAGTTTGTACATTGTTTCCAAACTCTATGTTAAAAAAATTAAACGTTATCATAGTTGTATATTTCAAGAAGCTTTTGCAAAGAGCTAATAAATGATTTGCAAAGGAGGCATAATTGAGGAGAAAAGATCTCAAATTCGTCCAGATCATGTTTATTGATCTGTTTTATGCTTTTAAGTTACTTTATTATAAGAAAAAGTCTAATGAGAGAACCTATTTGACTGATAATCTTCATTTGGTACCATTTTGTGCTTATAATGTAGATGAAAATCTTAGATAGGTTCGTGCATTTAGTCCTTCTTTTCGACTTATGATTATTTAACTGAACTTTTGGCTTATAGCATGGTATTCTGGAAGTTTCAGCTTAAACGGATTTTTTCCTTCAAAGATAGTTCGTTGGCAAAGAAATGTCACTTTCATACAAGAACTTCAAAAATAGTCCATTTTTTAGGCATAAAATATCCTAAGAAGAAATCTTCCGTTTGAACTGAAACTTGCAGGATATCATGAGAACTATGAGAACTTTTTTTTGGCAAGAATTTCAGGTCGAAACTTCTTGCTGCGTTTTCTCTCCTGATATCCTTCAATAGGCTGAAAGTTCAATAAAATGATCTTAATTCAGGAAGAAGGAGCTAATGCCACGTACACTTTCAGAATTTTCATCTACACTGTGAGCTCAAACGAAGATTATCAATCGGATGCATTCTCTCATAAGAGAATTTCGACTGATGCAGATTGTTTCAATAAATATGGCTATAGTCATCATTTCTTAAAAAGAGACATCAGATTAATAAACTTCCTATAACTCATATAAGAACTGCTCTAACATCCCACAAGTCACAATTCTATATCATGGACGGAGGTAGATACTTTACTTCGGATCTTCTGGTTAAAAGCGACAATTATTTTACTAAATTTTAGATTTAAAGTCGAACTTCGTTTGTTAAAATTGGATGAAAGAATTTTGATCTAAAATTTTGTCAGCAAATCGATCTAGTTCTGCTAACAACACTGTTGAAAGTTTTAATTAAAATAAATGCTTATTTTTTTGTACGAGTAATTCTCTTACGAATAGGGGTCTATGTGACTGATTTTCAGGTCACTATATATCTATCAGTTAAAAGGTAAACCAGATAGTTAATATGAAAACGATGACGAAAATTTAATTTCGAAGAAAAGCAAAATTAATGAAGAAGATAAGTATGAATGGTTAAGTAATGATTATAATAGTGGAAATGAAAACTAATGATGATGAAAATTCTAGTGAAGCTGTGATTTTTACTAAATAATCTTGTTCTCTTTATAGGATTGTCATTAATTAAGATTAAATAGAAAAGATGAACATTAAAAAGTTTCGATTTCTCTATTTCAATTTAAATAGGAACAAGATATCAGTGGCAGATTTTTAGTAAGACAGCACGATTATGGTAATAGAACATGTTTTGACGTCTATTAAAGATCGTAACGGCTCAATGTTATGTATTTTTCGCTGACAAAGATCGAAAAATATTTCGAAAGAAAGAAGCAATCCTCTTCTTTTAACCTGCCACTATGAGATATGTCACTTTTACTTTTTCATTTCTTTGTTCAAACATTATTAGTCATAGTTACACATAATCAATGTACAAATTTTTACCTATAAGTTCTATTGATATGATTTCTTTCTTAATATGACATTGAAAATATTCATATGTATTGAAAGAAGCTGTATCAGTCAAAATTCTCTTAAAATTTTTCTGAGAATAAAGTCTTTCCACCATACGCGCAAAATATTCACTAAAACAACATGAATTAGCTGAAGACCTTACTTGTACATACACCGTTTATTCCTCTTTTAATTATTAATGTTGAATTAAAGCTAATTTTCTCCAACATATATATCAAGTGAGCATAAGACTTAAAACAGTCACAGTTATATGCTTCAGCTGCTAATATGTCTGAATTACTATCAAATATGGATGATTATTATCACAGTATACAACAGATTAACTTAGATTATATATGAGCTTCACTCATGATAGAGTTCATTGTAACTACTTTTATCGTTATGAGAAAAAGTCATGAGTTATTTTATTAAAAACGATTTCATTCTGTGACAAGCGATAAATTAATATTTATCTATTTTGATTGAACGATTCTTTGTAAGGTACATAATTGATGACAATATTCCTAAATTTCAGCATAAATCTTTCATTAATTTTTGTATTATTAAAAATAATAGAACAAAATTGGAAAACTTCAATAAGGATTCTTGCATATTGACTAAACACGACATCTTTTGAAGGAAGACATTTACTTATGTTGAACCAATTATGAATATCGGAATGCAAAAGAACTGTCTTACACACAGATCACCCATTTGACATTTTACTCGTTTTCAATAATTATTGGTTCTTTGTATTTTGCTGACTCATTACTTACTCAATACTCTACAATTTCGGCGCACACTATTTTCTTTTATTTTTATTATGATATTGTTTTTATATTGGATGATTAGTAAATCACTAGAGATACATAATTTTGAATATCTCCACATTTCTGTCATATAGACTGATATTTTTGCCACTCTAAAGAAGTGTTCATAGTTCATATTTATAAGAGAAAGGTTTTCATATATTTCTTTTAAGTAGTACAACTTACTTCAACAAAAAATTTATAATATTTTTCTAGTTATAAAAAATTCATATTGCAGTTTCGTCAACATATTTTTGGTGTGTATGGCTGAAACTTTCAAAATACACTAAGAAACAAAACATGTGTCTGTAGTGTCAATATGAGGCCGAACGATACTGGTGTGAAAAACCAATGGAAAAAAATTAGATACCATTTACTTTTGGCTTAGAAACTAAATATATTGTCTTTTTATAGCTTCTGAAGGGTTACAATTCTGTGTTAAAGCAAATTTTAAATACTTCAAAACGATTTTTAACTATATGTCTCTTATGAAAATGAGCAATAAACAGTACTTTTCAGTGGTAAAAATATCAGTCGATGTGGTCGAAATATAGAGAAGATATTCAATAATTTTTTTTGTCTAGTGATTTTTTGAACACCGTATATAATTGAATTCTTGATTTAAATATTTAAACTTTACGTTTTTTAGATCGATTCACTTTTTCAGACAATTTCGGCTAATGTATATATTTATCCAAATTTTCATCATCGTAAGCTTTTTGTCATTATTGCTTTGTTGTTAATGATATCTTCTTTTTCAGGCTAGTGTCATCATTTACCCCATCGTTACTGATGATGTTTGCAATAGTAAACAATGCAAGTGTTTTAAGGATTCTACTCTTGTAAATTGTGATGGAAAAGGATGGAAAAATCTGAATGATATTGATTTTCCTCCAAAGGTTATTACTTTAACACTTAATAACAATAATCTCAAATTTGATATGAGTAAAAATTTGTCAAATAGACCTATTTAATTAATATAATATCCTTTTCTTATTGTAGTTACTGATCGTGCAAAAATTGAAAATTTACTCAGTTTGACAGATTTAAGTATTAATCAAAATCCTCTTGGAACGATTCCGTCTTTTAATCATACAAACATTCGTTTTCTTTCATTACAAGATACTTCATTAACATCTGCTGAATTTCCTTCTTCATATAGAGGTTCACTTTTACAAACAATTTCACTTAGTAATAATAAAATTCGATCAATCAACGAAGAAGATTTTGTAATTTTACGTGGTTCTCAATTACGTAAATTACATATCGATAGTTCAAGTATTTCTAAGATAGATCAAAATGCTTTCACTCCATTAATGCAACTTCAAGCATTATCATTAAAAAATAATCAATTAAAATCTTGTGAATTTATATCAAATTTAGGTTCACTTTCTTCAATTAAACTTGATGGCAATCAATTTACTTCACTTTCACAACAATTATCAACACCAAGAAACATTAAAACCTATTCGATTACACATAATTCAATATCAACTATTGATGAATCATCACCTTTACATCAATGGCTTAACATGAATTATACAAATATTAAAATTTTTTTAGCTAATAATACATTTAATTGTTGTTCATCTTTATGGTTTATTCGTTTTATAAAAACATATCCTCAATTTGTTGGAGATGCTTCATTATTAACATGTACTACACCATCAAATTTTGCTGGAAAACTATTGGCTAAACTCAATCCAGATGAAATGAATTGTGATGGTGATATACCAAATAAATCATGGTGGACAACTGGTCGAATTATCGGCATTGTTGTTGGGTCTGTTAGTATAGTAATGATTGGTATAATTGTGATTATTCGTGTCGTTGCGTATATTCGACGACATTCATTACGTTCCGGTTACGAACCAATTAGTGGAAATGATGAACAATATTCTGATATAGATTCATTATTGTCTGATAGACATACATTACCAATACTAGAAGATGATGATGAACTATCAACCAATACGAATATTAACAGTACAAGAAGTGTTGCTCGATCAGATGCACCAACACATACAACAGCTGAAGGTATTTATGCAACAGATGGTAGTGTTGTTGGAGATTCTCAAATACAAGAAGCAGTCTTAATACCCCGTTCTGATTAATCTAGTCTCAGTTTTTTTTTTCTAGCCTATATTACTTAAATTTTAATCTATACAGGATGCTCGCTAAGTTTTGACCCGCTTAATCAATAAATTTATTGATTAAGCGGGTCAAAACTTAGTGAACACCTTTTATTCCTATAATGTTGTTTATTTTCAATCAATCTCTTATTCTATTTTTATTTGAAAACATTTTGTTCTTTTCTATGTGCGCTCATCTCGGTTAATATGAATGTATTTTGCGCGATACTTTAACTGTTCTGTTTCTCGAGTTCAATAGAGAAATTTTTCATTTTTAATCAGCAATATTGTAAAATACTTTGTTTTGTAGCATTCATTTGACATTATTTTAGATTGAGTTTTTTTTTATCAAACATACACTTCACGATAAATCATTCAGTGAAGTAAAATAAAAAGAAATCAAAGATATTTCTATATATGACTGGATTTATTGTGGTTGATTTTCATTCTTCTTATTGCTTTAATTGCTAGTGAAATTTATAACATAGATGAAGCATATGCTTGTGATAATTTTGGTAAATCAACTATTGTTCATCGTAATTCAAAAAGTTTATTTACAGAGTATCCCGAAAGTTTGCCGGAAAAATAAATATTTATAGCTGTCATACAATTCAAGCTATTTTTAATAATATGATAGTATGTTCTATAAAGATTTATTTAGCATATCTTGTAACAAATATTTGTCACAAAAATGTCCATCTTTTAAAAGCTCCGCTATGGACGTCGTTGATCTACTTATGTCTCGCAAAACATCTATTAATTGTAGTTCTTCTGCTTGGTTTTGTTTATATATCCCTGTCTGAATATTTTCAAACTCGTAGAAAAATATTAGATTTCAGTCGAAATCTTAATTCCACAGGAATCTGATAGCACTCATGCCATCCATACCGGACACATTGACTGCTTTTAGTTTGTTTTTAAATTTAATTATTTATCTAAGATGATGCCACATAAATACTCATTAGATAGACGACTTAATTAATAGGAAAACTATGACACCATCCGAGAAAATATACTGTAGCATATTGAAATCGAGCTTTTTGAGTTACAATCGATCTATTCCAACTAGAAAATATGAATTTTATGGAATGATTATTAAAAAAATTGATAAAAAAAGAGTAGATAGTTCGCAATCAAGTGCGTATTAGATTATGAATCGATATGCTTTAGTAATACTATAACAACTACAATGTAATTAATAACGTCAAAAAAATGATTTATAAGATTCAGTTAAAGTTTTGTAAAAATAGTCGTATATACGTTAGAGCACAGTTAGAGGCAAAGCTATTTGTGTTTGGGATGAATTTGCTTTTCATTTCAATTGAATTATCGATGAACATAATATGAGAATCAATTATCGATATAATGTTTTTTAAAACATCAGATTCAGTTTAAAATCTGAACCGAGTATGGAAATAGATGGATAGTAGAAAATGCAATTGTTTCGTATTTTTTGGATACTTTCAAAAATAATGGATTTGTGTGTTTTGTTCGGTAGGAATTATCATTAATATTTGCTGCTCAATTAAATTATATTAAATAAAACTTCAAAGAATACAATATTCATATTATAAAAAAAGTAATAAAATTTGATCATTTTTTAAAGTATAATTACCTTTATTTATCGTACGAACTTTTGAGAGACCTTGGAATTCGTTTGATATTACATTTAATTCAAACGTAGAAAATTATATTTATAAATAACTTTTTACCATTGAAATCAAGTAAATTTGATTATCCAAATTTGTGAAATGTGATCTAAAACAAGTGTTAAAGTATATAGAGTAGAAATTTGCACTGAGATACCTCGAGGGTGTCTTCCGTCTTTTGCCACGCACCGTTACAGACACGTTAGCAACACTTCAGAACTCCATGTCATACATTGTGATAGATGTTGTTGAAAAACGATCACAGATTCGATATCAATCACTTCTGGTTATAATATATAAACTACTTCCTCAGTAGCTACGTAATGTTTCATATTTTAATTCTACAGAAATTATGCTAATAGCATTTTTTTTTCTTCTCAGTAACCGTTAGTTCTTTTTCTAGTTGATGATCCTACAAAAATCAACAATATAACATCATTTAAATCTTCACATATTTGATAACTGCACAAATCTTGAATCAATTGTAGTTTCAAATAACAAATTAATAAAAATTAGATCAGATAATTTTAAATCTTTATGTTTATTTAAAAAATAATTCGTCAATTAAATTTCATTAGTATCAAATTCACTTGACTCAGCTGTATTTGTTTTCTATAGTGAATTATATTCTGTTGATGAATATTAATAAACTTAAACAATTACCAATATGAATGCTGGTCGCAGATTAAACAGAATACTTCTTTTTTCGAAATAATCAAATGGATACCAATGATGAAGTAGAAGTACTACCTTGTGGGATTAAAACGAATATATATATCTTATATTGAAGTTTATTTAAATAATAGTCTATCTTATTGTTGTTAATCTTGTTGGTTTATTCATTATCTTACTAAACTAAAATATACTTGTTAAAGACTCATTTGTACTTTATCAAAAATTTATATAGGTACAATCATTGATTGATTTACGTGTTGATCTAAGTAATTATTCAACTAAACGACTTTATCTGTTAAATATTCGTTTGAGTATATGAACAATCATTATATTATGTGCTGTTGATATGTGATTTTTACTTTTGTTTTTGTTGGAATAATTTTATATCAACGTAATAGATTTTATTTTGACCTTTGACAAGGTTATAAAATAATCGATGATAATTTACTGGCGTAAATACCAAGTGTTATAATTTTATTAAAGATCTACTAATATTTTCTTTACACTACTAAGTAACTTTTTCTTTCATACCTATTGTGATATTTCATTCTTATTTTTTTGTTTTCATCTTGTTTCTTATACAAATATAGTTTTTCTAAAGAACAAAAAAAGCCGTGATTGATTGAGCATCTAGTTCATATTCTTAGTAACAAAAAAAAAGAAAGGTTTTCTTTTGATTAAATCAAATGGAAAAAAATCTCTTTGTTCTGCTGAACTACGTAATTGCATATGAATCATTTCTGAAAATATTAAAACAACTACATTATTCATTAGTAAATATGTATATTTGATCAGTTTTCAAAAAAAAACAAAAGAACAAGGTTTTTTCAGATAATTAATGTTTACAATGATTAAAAACAGAAATTTATTGTATAAAAAACAAAGTGTCTTCGTCTGGTGGAATAACAGCAACAATAGGTAGCAACGGTTTATTTTGTTTAACAACAAGTTTTGGAAGTGTCTTCCTTTTTACTGCTATCCTTCTAGGATTAGTAGTTTTATGATAAGATTTTGATTTTTTTCTTATTTCATTGTCTCCTTCTTCACCACTTTCCATATCGCTAGTAGAAAATGTATTTTCCGTAGTAGCACCATCAGAATATGTTGAAGAACGTCGTTCAAAATCATCCATTTTTGGTAGAGGTAATAGATTTTGATTGCTATTACTTAAACTCACAGATAATTTTGAATGACGTGTTGCTAATGTTTCAGTCCAAGAACCTGTTCGATGCATATTACGAAAAATAACTTCACTTGTTGAACGACCACGCATTTTAAAAGGTCGATTGGTAAAAGTAGAATTTAAATTATTATTAAGTGATACTAATTTTTTTTCAAGTCGTTTTTGTTCAAATGCAAGTAATTGAAGATTATTGGCTGATTTTCGTCGTTCAGCATCAAGCAAACGTTGTTCAGCAACAACATGACGATCTTGTGCTATAGTATGTTTCGTACGTGTATCCAAAAGACCATTATGAAAAGGAACAGTACGTTGTGGAGGATGAAAAAACTAGAAATAATTTTAAATTAGACTAGTATTCATTATAGTAATAGTCTTACTTTAAAAGTAAAATCGAACTCTGATTTAGGCATTTTAGAACACCTTGTACTGCCACACAACAATTATTAATCACCTATGTGCCTACCGTAGATATAAATACAAAATTTTCTCTCTTTTCTTCTTTATAGTTGTTATCGTTTCATCATCGAGAGTCGTGGAGAAAAAAGAAATAGCAGCAGTTTTTCTCAAAATAGGTGACGAACGAGAATGTTTTCATCAGTTTTACTTCATGCCACCATCCTCATTGTGAACAATGCATGGGTTAAGAATGTGTTCCTCCTTTTCTTCTTAATATTAAGCCCTAAAGCTTTTCAATCAAAATTATATTTTGTTTTTCTTCTTGTTGTAAAAATAGATTAGTCGTTTTTTAAGGTTTTTTTTTTTACTAATCATATTATCCTAATTAATGTGCTATACTCTCTTGACAAATACATCTGAAATAACTCAAAGTTCTATGTGGTACACGTTTAGTTTTAAGTGTTTCTTCACAATAACCTCGTCGCCAACTTTGTCTTGATTGAACAAATGAATAAATTTTATACAATTGTTCACACGGTATTCGACGTTGATGATCAGTATCCGTTGCTTTTTCTAATCGATGATTCCATGCAAGATTTTCACAAATATTTAATTTTGGCAAAGAAATCATTGCATAAGGATTACGAATACTATGTATAAGTATTGGCCCGAATGGACGAAATTGAAATGGGAAAACATCATTCTTTTGTAAATAACCAATTTTCATATTTAAGTGATTATTATTATATGAATCAAATATATGAGTAGAATTTTCCTGATAGAAATAAATTTCAATTTGTGGCCAACTTTTATCTGCAGTAAAAACTTTATAAATAAATCCGTTTTGTTTTTTATTAATATATGCATTGTTGACTTGTTGTAACACTAGTTGAAAATTTTTATTAATATTTTCTATAAACTTTGCTTTACTTAATAACGGTAAATTAAATTCAACAATTGAATGCCATGGTACAATATCATGATGACGTAGAGCACCTAATAAAGTATTTTGTCCAATAAAATAATCAATATTTAATTCTAACAATACATATTGAACTTTCATGATTAGTACAATTAATTCAAAATAGGTGCATGATGAAAGATACATATTATGTAAAATATGATGATTTTTAGAACGAATATCTTTTACATTATAATCAAAAAAAAGACCAAAAGCAGTTAAACGTCTTTGAAAATCAATATTATCTACGAGTAATTTTTTTGTATATTGATTCAGATATTGATCAATAAATTCAAATGATAACAATGATGATGATGATAATGAACAAATAGTTTTTGTTCTTTTTAAATAAAGTTCAAATGACTTTGACCAACTTTGCACAACTAATGACCAAAGCTGATCACGTTCATTATAATCAGTTGTATGAAGAAATTGATCGATTAAATTTGTCATTACAAATGGATCAGATGCATTGTAAACAACAGATTTATGGTTAATACTTTGCTTATCAAGTAACGATGATACTATCAAGAAATGTTTGAATGAAATAATGCATGAAATTATAATACAAATAATTAATAAACGTCGATGAATAAAAATTCTGGAACATCGAAACATAATAAGTTTTATTGTATTTGTTTCACTTTTGTATTCTGACCAATGTACTTTCATTTATTTGGCTTGTTTTAAATGTGAATATTCATTCAAGCGTAATACATGTGCGCTCTTTTCTTTTTACTTTTGTCTATTTCATACTTTTATTCTGTTTTGTTATGGGTGAGCGTATTCAATACGAGAAAGATACATATTATTATACTATTGAGAACGCTGACAGATAATTAAAGGCAAAGAAATATCATGATATATTAAGTAACTTTTTATTGCGGATGATCATTTTGATCAAAATCAAACAACTCATCAATTACTATACATGTAGTACTTAAAATTTTAATTGTAGTTATTAATTATTCACAGTCTAATGTTTAAATACAAATCCTAGTTTTAACTTGTTTTGACAGATAATAAAAAGATCTTGCTAGAAATATCACAAGAACTAACATTTGATTGGAATATCTTTACGAATAAATCTTTATTTTTGTCTTTTCTCATTTGATATGTCATGGATTTTTAAATAATAAATTGGAAAAATGAATAAATCATGATTAGAAACATCATCGATTAATTTCTATCTGAATTATTTAAGTGTAAATTCAACGTGATTACGTTTAGAAATATTTGAGTCATGAAATAGTATATTTTATTAGGATTTTGCTTAGTCATAGTATTATCTTCTAGGAAGTATTCATTTAATTTGACTCATATGAGTAATATGCTCTTTCATTACAGAAGAATGATGTCAGCTATGTTATTCCGAAGTTTGTATATCTCTAAGTCTTAGGACATTTAATTGCAAATGATACTCATTTATTTCAAACATTTATGTAACACCTACAAATAAACGTATAACAAAAATAAAGTGAATAAAAAAAATTCTTTATCAACATTATTTATTCTATCTAAATTTGACCTATTGATAATATTTTGTGTAGAATAGAAACATGTTTCAGCATAATAGAAAAACAAAAAAATAAATTTCAAGCAAAAATGTAAGTGTTTACATTATAATTATTCTTATTATTTTGGTGTGTTATTTTTTTTTGCCCATCCAAGGACTATTAGTTTGTTTCTATGAATGCTTTGTTTTCACTTCTTTCATTCTGTAAGTTTAGAAAGAACATTTTATAATGAAAAAAATTCAGATTTTTTAAAATTTTATTTTTGCTGCTTGGCAGTCTTGATGTTTAGATAATGAAAGGCATTGTATATTTTATCCTAATGATTTCAGATATTTTGCCATTCTGTTAAGAAAAAAAATACAGAAAATGCATTATTTTTCTCCTTTAAAATGTACTTCAGTGACATTTTAGTATTCTAGATTTTTCTGAACCGAGTAAATTGGTAAGAGCAACACGTGGAAAGGAATGATGCTTTTATGCATTTTGTTTTCTTCTATATGACGATGTTGGTATTATTTCTTCCTTATGTTTGGCAATAAGGAAAAGTGGAGAACAAAAAGAAAAAAAAAGAAAAAAAAAGAAAAAAAAAATCGTAAATGACGTCAGCGAAGAAGAAATATGGTCCGAAATAAACACATCAAGTGCACATAGACACGCGGAATTACTTACGCAGTCTGATTTTTTGCTTCCCCCTTTTGCGTCGATCGATACATAGAAAAAGAATAAAACGAACGCAAAAGAGGTGTGTCTTAGCGTTTATTCTATTGGTGAACCTTGTATATTAGCCGTGAAATAAAACATTGCATCATCTAAAAATTTTAAATCCAAGTATTTAGTGATTTTTTACGTTTTAGTAACAATTTTTTTACCATGGCTTTGGATTTTGGCTTTGGATTTGTAGCTGGTGTAACCGGAACAATAGCTGGTTATCCATTTGATACAGTAAAAGTTCGTCTTCAAACACAAACACTCAGTCATCGTTTATATTCTGGTTCCTTAGATTGTTTTATTAAAATTGCAAAACAAGAATCAGTATTAGGTTTTTATAAAGGCATGTCATCACCTATGTTTGGTGTTGCACTTATTAATGGTATTGTATTTTCTGTTCAAAACTTTTCAAAAGGTTTATTTGATAATCCTGATACATATAAATCATTAGCAGTAACTGGTGCTATTGCTGGTGGTGTACAAGCTTTTGTTTGTTCCCCAATTGAACTTATTAAAACACGTTTACAAATGCAAGGTATTGGACAACAAAGAAAATTATTTGCATTAACAACTCATTTATATAACGGTCCAATTGATTGTTTAAAAAAATCTTATAATAGACGAGGTGTTCGACATGGTGTTATGCGTGGTATATCGATGACACTTGCACGTGATATTCCATCATTTGCTGCTTATTTTCCAGCTTGGCATTTTTTTGTTACACATTTTTCTCCAACAGGTAAAGAAGCAGATATGCCTATGTATATGAGTTTAATGGGTGGTGCTTTTACTGGTATTGTTGCTTGGACAGTATCATATCCGTTTGATGTTATTAAAAGTCGATATCAAGCAGCAAGAGATCATGTGTATAAAGGTGTATGGGATTGTGCAGTTAAATCACTTCGTACGGAAGGATGGCGAGTATTTACTCGAGGCTTTGTACCATGTACTCTTCGTGCCATTCCAACAAATGCATTTACATATCCAGTTTATGCACTTTTAAAACAAACATTTGATTCACCACAAGACGATGACACATCAATCATAACAACAACAACGACTACTACTACTAAACCTATTGTTAAATCACAGTCATTACTATCAACAGAAGTTTCGTCAACGAAAACGAAATCAATCGCCCCAATCCAATCAATATAATATGAAAAGAAAAGCTTTTTATTCTTCTCGATTTTATTACTTAAATTTACTGATGTCAGATAGTAATTAAATTTTTATTTTTTTAGATATCAAGAACATTACGTATACATCGCTCAGCTTTTTTTTAGTTATCCTTTACATAAATGACTGTGTCTAATGTACATGACATCGCTGTGTGTAATCTTTTTTTTTCTTTTTCTTTTCTACCGATCCTTTGTGACTTGTACATAATATATAACGTTGCAAACCTTATTTCATGGTCAAAATATGATTACAAATCAAATTGCAAAACATTTCATTATAGAAAAGATTAAAAAAAATTGAAATCAAAGTTCAATTAAAAGACTCTGAAAAATTTAGTTTTTTTTTTGTTACTCTCAATATATTGAGTAAATTGTTTAGAACTATCAATGATCAATAGAACGCTATAATTTATATTCAATAATTGGTAGACAGAATAAAACGTGGAAGTTATGGATTTCTTTCGATTGAAAAAAACAAAAGCTTTTCTTTACTGCTCATTCGCTATTTGGCTCTGATTTTTTAATAGAAATTTGGACAATAATAATCGGCCAGAATGAACATTTCACGCTATTTCTAACCGTATATCCAATTCTTTTCTTGGCTTAAAGTTAATTTATTGAGTATCAGGGCTAAAACTGATCTGAATCAAACTGGATCGGTTGAGGAAGTCAACATGGGCCAGTAAAGACTGGAATTTCACCGGCTGCAAGTTTGGAAAAACCCGTCTCTATTAACTCAGTTTTTGGCCATTAAAAACTAAGTTGTCACATGTTTTTCGGTCAGAATACGTAAAAAAAGTACTCGAAACATATGTTATATTAATCATTTGTTCTGAGTTTCTCTTTGAAAAGATTTACTATGACCAATGTCTGTTATATGCGCTCCTAAACTATTTCTTACTTGAAGCCTTTTTCTCTAAAAATCGTTTTCCCGAAAAATGTGCCTTTTTTTGGTCGGTTTTAACCGAGATTTCACCGGTTGTACATGTAGTTCCAACCAGTCGGATCGGACTGATTTATCATTTCTCAACCGGTTCCAACTCTGTTGAGTGTAAATCTTTGATTGGAACTAGAAGAAAGTCTTTTCACATATACTCCATTTGCTTTTTTTTTTCTAATTGATATCAATGATCAAAATTGATTACATTCTAAATACAGAAAATCAAAAAACTGAGTTTTTTTTTGAAAAATATTGACCCATTTAAAGACTAGTTGCGCGAAAACTATTTTTAGCTTTTGATCCTTTCAAGTTCTAACTACTGTACTTCACGATTTCGTAGAAAACTATATTGTTTCCAATATGAGAAGAGCAAAAGTAACCAAGTTTCATGTACAGAATTTATAAATAACAGAAAAAAAGTCTATTTTGATTTACGAGGGAAGTCCTCTAAGTGAGCTGTGAATGCTCTGAACAATTTCATGTCCTTAGTTTATTGTTGCTCAGATACTGGACTGTTACAATATTCTTTTTATGAATGTCGTGGTAATAGAAAAATTGATTTTCGAATTTCGACTTGAAACTTTGTATAAAAACAGGCCTTAATTGGAGTAGTTTATTGCCAAAGCTTGAAATCTTTCGATGTGCTTCCATTTTGAAATAAGAACATCAAGTCTGCTGATTTAAATGAGTGATGTAAAAGACAGGCTATTAACATAGTTGTATCTTAGGATAGGCACAGCAACAAGATCTGAAACATTCATAAAAAAAATCTATTCTCTTTAAAGCCTGCTTCTATGCAAAGTTTCAACTCGAAATATAAAAACCAATTTGTTCGGCGTTATTTTAGGGGGACCACCACATTCTGGTACAAGATACCGCAAAAGTATAGTATTACCGCATCAATAAGCTAAGAAGGCGAACTGTATTTAAAATATTCATAGCTCATATAGATCTACATAATGCACATAGCCTCGACTCAAAAGCAATCGAACAATTTTAGGGTTTTTCTCGTTAGTGTAAACAAAATTTTTAGTAAACATTGGCTCACAGATAATCAGCTGCAGATTAAGAAAAAGTTTTGAGCAATTATTTAGAAACAACATCAAATTCTGATTTTAATTCAATATATTTATCTTTTCCAATGACTTCTAGGTGTCTGAATAATTAGCAAACATATGATATCAACACGTTTTTGTTTATAACTTTGGTACAAACGTCGTTGCTGATCGCTATTAAAGAATCGTTTTCAACGAACTAAAGTTAATCTAGAGACAATGCCTGAATGTTTAGTTAGAAACAGTGTAGAATTCTAATATGGGCTGGTTACTTGTGTTCCTCTCCAGTACTTTGTAAGTAGGCAAAAATAAGCTCAACATTCTGTACAAAGATTTCACACATAGTTTAGATACGAAATCATTTCATTTACTGGACTTTTATAACGTTTACGCCAGAGAATAAAACATTTGCTGTATGGTGAAATCAATTGACGAAAAATAAATTATGGTTTATATACGTGAATTTCTAGCTTGGAAAAGCATTCATATCAGCATTTAATGCAGATTTTAAATTACAGGCAGTTGTATTATTAGTTGATCGGATGCTGAAAAATTCCAAAGTACCAGTTACTTGCAGTCGAATCCATTCGACTGATGATGGTTTTAGATTAATATTAAAAATAAGTTTTCTTCTTAAGGACTTGCAGTTTAGTGTCAACTATTTGAATATGCTTTTGGTCATTGATCTCAAACAAGTGGCTGCACATGAACTAGGCTGTATTCTCTGTTACCCTAGCTGTTTTTCACTTTTTTATGGCTCAGTATTGATAAATGATAATATTATGCGATGTGACGGCAGATATATCAACTGAAGTAGCACATCGCTTGCAGATTCAGCATGGAAAACTGAAACTAGTAAAGCCATTTGTAAATGACTTTGCAAGATTTAGCTTTTCATGTTGAACCTGAAACAAATAACTTTGAAATTTGAAAGGAAGTAAAGAATTGACAATTTTTTGTCTACCAAAAGTTAACATATATTTTAGAAAAAGTAGATCATAGGAAAAAGACTGGAATGTTTTCTCTGAGATCTCTTTTCAAAAAAGATGAAAAAACCTATATTCTTGATCATCTCATAAAACTCTACATAATCATATATAAAAAAAAGAAAACACGTTCTGCTGTAATTTTGCATTTCCGGCACCTTACGTTTTCCCCTACCTTACAAATGCTGAATCATGCATAATATCAATTCTACTAGGACTTTCCTATACTATTATTTGTCTCAAAACAAAAGCTAATACACAAATTGCTGCTATTCCTTTTATGACAAATGATTTTAGAGTCAATTAACCGTTTGAGTGCCGGCGACGCATATACGCGTCCGAATGCAGTTATTTGACAAAGGTGCTCCTAGTATATTTTCTAATTGTTTGGAACATCTTTTTATAGTTTATTAGATGTGGATGTGGGTTACTAGACACAAGAATCACACCCACACTCCACCCTACACGATATATTTGTCCTGACTGCGATGCACCTCTATATATTGTTGATTGATTCAAAGACTACCACACAAAGATGAACTACTAATGATTTTTTGACATAAAAATGTAATTTCTTCGTAAAGAAATAAAGATCATATTTAAAAATTTCATAAAAAAAAGTTTTAAGTTTCACAAAAAAAGCCGGGACTCAAAGGGTTAATTTGAACACCACCACATACATATCGAATGATAATTATGACGATTTAGTTAATTTATCTTCTAATTCAAGTTAACCTTAGTATGATTCTTTGACTAATGCTTTGTAATTAATCGAACTAATTTAAGTATAATGCTTTGGTATGTTACTGTTTTATTATTTTTTTTGGTTATCTATAACTTTTGAATATAATTTTTCTTATATGCATTTTAGTATGTGTAAATTTTAATATTTTTGTATTTTCTTTGTCAAAATTTTATGACTGAAATTTGTGAAAATCAAACAAGCAATTCTCTGCAATTTTTTTCTTGGTTTCTCTTATTATGTTTACTGTCAGACGTGATGAAAGCAGTATAAGCTTTTTACAATAAAACTTCATCGAAAAAAAGATGCAAATTATCAAAAATAAATAAAATTTCTTAAAAATCGTGATAATATTACATAAGATAGGCGGTAAAGCATGGGATAACATTCAAAATAATCGGAGAATAAATCGAGATTTATCGTAATAATCACTAAAAATAGCATGAAAAATCGGCGATTAATCGTGTTTCAGCTCATGATTATCGTTTCGATATATTGCGATTAATCGGCAATTTTTCAACGATTTCTACGACATGGGCCGTAGCTCGTAAAGGCGACTAGAGTCTGTGGGTACCTTTTAAGGGAAACTACGAATTAAGGAAACTCATACAAAATAAAATGGATGCCGCAGTAAATCCATGATGGCGGATCAATAGTATTCAGTGTCTGTAAAGTATGAATGATCCATGTTTTATTACAAATAAATCCGATTGATCTGCCGTCACAACTTTACTACAGCCTCCATTGTGTTTCACAATTTTCCCCTTATTTCCTCTGAACGGTGCTCACTGAACTCCTCCGGTCGTATCTGAATCCAACCAAGTCCAAGTAGGAGTCAAGTCTGAAAATTTTGTGTGTGCTGTATCCAAGTCTAGAAATTCTTGGACGCGTCATGGGTTCCGCAAACGGCTCAGATGCCCCAATATTAATTGTCATGTGTCGACATCGGCTTGGTTCTGTCAGTTTTAACAGACTTCAAAAATATTCATTTATTTTCATACAATACTTTTGAAAAAAAAACCGCCATTATTACAATACTTGCAGCTAATAAAATCTACTTTAAGTATTGCAGCACCAACTATAATAAGCACAAATAACATAACCGAAGCATAAGTAGTTTACATCCGTAAAAAATTATTAAATTTACATTTTTAACCCTTTGAGTCCCGGCTTTTTTTGTGAAACTCAAATTTTTTTTTATGAAATTTTTAAATATGATCTTTTTTTCTTTACGAAGAAATTTCATTTTTGTGT